GGTGGGGCCGGGCCGGGCCTCGTTCGGTGCCCCGCGGCCGCCGGAGGGGCGGTGGGAAGGGGAGGGACTCCGACCTGGTGGAGTGAGCTTCATCCCCTGCGTGTGGGGATCCGTGAAGCTCGGTCAGAGCAGACTCTGATGGTCACGTTGCAGTAGCAGTTGTTTATTCTCTCTAAACTTGCCACTTACATCTTATAAGTTTCAGTTTTGAGTTTGCATCTAAGTGAATATTTGGGAACACTGACTCACACTATAGAGGAATCCTACGGAATTGTCCTAGTGGCTGAATGAGCCCCAGAAGTGCTGTAGGGTGAGCGGGTTGGTGTGAAGGCCACCCAGGTTCGCTCTGTGCTGTGTTAACCGAGGCCCCCGTGTCTCTTAGGGGAGCTCATGGAGCTGATCCGGACGGAGGGCCGACGGATGACGGCAGCGCAGCCGTCCGAGACCACTGTGGGCAACATGGTGCGGCGAGGGCTGAAGATCATTCGGCCGCAGTATGGTCTGTGGCTCTGCTGAGGCCGCTTAGGCTTTGCCACCCGCTTTTCTGGCTCCTCTGACAGAAGGATGCAGCGAGTTTAACACAGAAGGAAAGAGCAGCAGAAGCTGTAGCTTTTGGAATAGCTGGTGACATTTCCTCCAGTGAAGCTCCACTTGACCTGCTGCTGTGGCCATGTGAGCTTCCCTCTCCCCAGCAGGACAGTCTGTGCTCTGACCTCAGGCTGTTGTCTCCTTATTTTCCCAGGAGAGTCCATTCCCCTGCAGCAGCAGCCTTGAGCCCCGCTCTTCACATGCCTGCTGCAGCTTCGAGGTTTCTGATTTAGGATAGTGCTCCCCGGCAAAGCTTGGGGTATCTTTCTGCTGCACAAGACGGTTAGGGAAGCTGCTTGGCACAACGTGGCTCCTGCCCGCACGCTTCCTTGCTCCGTGTGCACATCCAGGCCTCCTGGGCAGCAGGGGACACTAGTTCCAATGCAGGTGTTAGACCCATGGTGCCCACGCACCCCCTGCCTGCTCTGAAGGGCTGTTTCTCTCTGCAGGCTTCATGGGCGCAGTGAAGAAAGCGATCAGCAAGAATCACTGCACAAGCTTCTGACCTCAGGAGGACTCAGTGAGGATTTCAGCACCCCTTATCCTCTCCTCAGAGCTAATGTTATTGAAGCTATTAACGAGCTGCTAATAGAGCTAGGTAAGGGATGGAGTGATGCTTCTTCTCTGGAAAGAAAATAGACTTAGTCTGAAAGAATGTGTGTGCTGGGAGCAACAGGCCCGGAGGGTAGGGGGAGGAGGGGGTGCCTGTGCTGTAGGTTGTCTGAGTAGCCTTGAGTTCAGCCTTGCGAGGAGGAATATCAAAAATCGACCAGGGTCCTGTGATCTCATCAGACCTTTGTGCAGAAAAAACTGTGGTTTGCTTTTCTTCTTCTGCAGCGTTTAAATGGATCAGGAGCCCAGCCCTGCTTCTGATGCCTGTATTGCCCAGCATCTCCTTTTCATGTAATTCTAGTGCTACTGGGCTCTGAGCTCTGTGGACTTTGTCACTAGTTTTTCTGTGGGCACAGTGGCTGTCAGTAGTGTTGACCTGATCTGCTCACTACAGATGAAGTTCTGATACACATCCATTTTTCCTGAGTAGCTAAGGGGCACAGGACGGCTTGGAGACAACTTCTCAGCCAGTCTTCACCGGCAAAAGGAGCAGAGGATAAAGCTGCTCTTGTTTTTCCAGTGTTTGTGGCGTTGCTTTAGTGAAAACTGATAATGCTGGAGGAGAGCTTTCAGTGCACAGGAGTTGCTCTTCCTGAATCATCTAGCAGTCCTACGAGCCCCAGCACGCCAGCGTGCACTCTGAGGGGACCCAGTGCAGCCATGCAGTGCCCTCTGCTCTGGCTGGCATCTCGTGGAGCTCAGCCGAGCTGTGTGGCCTGCCTGCTCTCTCACCGGTGGCCTCCTTCCCTTGCAGAGGGCACCACTGACAACATCGCCATGCAGGCACTGGAGCACATCCATTCCAATGAAGTGATCATGACCATTGGCTACTCGCGCACCGTGGAGGCCTTCCTGAAGGAGGCCGCCCGTAAACGCAAGTTCCAGGTCATCGTGGCGGAGTGTGCGCCTTTCTGCAAGGTAAGAGCCCTCAGGCCAGCTGGCCTCACCAGCCCTGAGCTCTCCAGCGTTCTTGCCCAGCAGCCGTGTCTCTGGGAACACGCTGTGGGCACAGCATACACCAGAGCCTTTTGCAGGGGGGAGGTTTCTCAGCAATCAAGAGAGGAAGGACAGCTCGTCATCCTTCAGGGAGACAGCTGTATTTGTGTTCTCTGACTTGATATTTTTGTAGTTCAGGGAAGAATTGTTAGTATCTCTACAGCTACAATGTAAAAAGTTGTGTTGTCAGGTACTGGTTGTACTCCTGCTCTTTCTAGGGTCATGAAATGGCTGTCACACTAGCTAAAGAGAACATTGAAACTACCGTCATGAGTGATGCTGCTATTTTTGCTGTCATGTCTCGAGTCAACAAGGTAAGGAGGGCTCAGCTGGAGGAGGGAGTTAACCTCAGGCTTTGTGCTTAGGCCTCCCAAGACCAGCAGGAGTTCCCACTGGTGGTAGCTTTATTTCTTCATTGACGACTCAAAATTGTAACAATCCCCGTTTACAAAGATGGGGGAGATTCAGTGTACAAGCCCAGATCAGTGTGTGATGGTTAAAGATACAGGTTTTGATGAGTTGGGATGTCCTCTGCTATTTCTCTGCTGCAGCGGCTAACGGGCAGAACAGTTACAGGAAAGAGCCAGAGGACCCTCAAAGAGTTATTTTCAGAGTTCTCAAGAACCAAGCTGGAGTCGCACTCTTGTTGGACAGAAACATCTTGGTGCAGAGCCAGGGCCAGATGAAATGGGTCAGGTATCCAAGAGCCCTACTACAGCTCCTAGCCTTTGGGTTTCTGTCACACTCCTTCAATTCATCCAGGATTTTCCAAGCTAGGAATCTCTCCTCCTTCCCCAGTTTGCTATGGAGCCTGCTATCTAATACTGTTTTACCTTTTAAGGTGATCATAGGCACCAAGACCATTCTGGCCAACGGTGCGCTGATCGCCGTGAGTGGGACGCACACGCTGGCTCTGGCAGCTAAGCACCATTCCACTCCACTCATTGTGTGTGCCCCCATGTTCAAGCTCTCCCCACAGGTAAGCACAGCAGCTTCTTGGTGCTGGGACAGAGTGGGCAGGTGGGCACTGTCTGCCCAAAGGCCAGGATGGTACCTGTGCCATCCCTCCAAAGCTGTTGTTCCCACTAGGAAACCCTTGTCCAAATCTGGTACATCTCAGGACCTCTTTAAAGCACTTCCCACTGTTCTAGGTTCCTTCATCCAGTAAAAACTGACAAATGTGCTGAATTGCTGGTGTGTAGTAGATGTTGTTGTCTGTTGTTAAATGCTCCGTATTTATTTAAACATAACAGATTTTAATTTATACTGTAAATGGTGGGAGACTGCCTTTCCTATGGAGAAGGCAGAAGGAGATGCTTTCAAGCATCGTGGGACTCGCTGTTTTTTCAATAGTGCATCAGATAAAGATGCAGGCTGAGAAAGGCATGACTGTGCTCTGGTTCAGTAGAAGAGCCGTGAGGTAGGAAAGCATAAAAGCTCTGAGAAAACTTGCCTTCCACCTATAGATGTTGCACAGGTTCTGTAGACAAGCAAGACATAATAATTATAAGCTGAGCAGCAGTGTCTCCTGTCTTTCTCCGCTGCTTTTATTCCAACACATAGGATCTCTTTTCATTAGGATAAAGAGATGGTCTCCGTTTTCCTCACCCTACAAATTAGTTGTGTATAGAAAATATGCTAAACAGTGACATCACTGTAAACAGCCTTTATTGCAGCACACTATGAAGTAAGAGCTTGGCTTTCCCAGAAAATTACATGTATGCCTTGCTGGTTCAAAAGTAAATTGTAGCAGCAGCTCCACGGGGCTCATAACACAGTAGAGGGATCAAAAGCTGTGCAAGAGCTCTGCTTTCTGTTGCTTTTGGATAGGAAAGACACTGCATTGAGCAGATTTCCCTCTGCTGAACGGCAGCCCATCTTTGCAACATACGCTTTAATTAGCTGTCCTATCTTCCTCGAGATAGGAAAAGTCTGGACAGCGACTTGCTTCAAGGCATTAGAGTTAGAGTTCATAGTCATCTGGATGGTAGAGCTCACTCAAGAGGCGGTAGATATAGGAAGGTGCATTACCCCCAATGTTGGAAATGAAGAGAGTAATGAGCTCTGGAGGGACGTAGTCAAATACTGGGCAGTGAACATTTATCTTTGCCAGGATCTCACCTGAAAAGTGAATAACATCAATATCAGACAAACAATTGGGGAAGAAAAAAAAAAAAAAAAAAGAAAGACAGAAAAGCCTCTGCATGTCTTCCTGAGCCCCTCAAGAAATCATCTCTCTGTATATGCCCCCCTCAAGTTAGTATTGTGATGTCCTGAATCCTTTCCAGCTTCCTCACTTGATGTATTTGAATTACTGGTATACAGCAGAGTGAGGAAGCTGGAAAGGATTCAGGACATCACAATACTAACTTGAGGGGGGCATATACAGAGAGATGATTTCTTGAGGGGCTCAGGAAGATATGCAGAGGCCTTTTTCTCTCTCTCTCTTTTTTTTTTTTTCCCCCCAATTGTTTGTCTGATATTGATGTTATTCACTTTTCAGGTGAGATCCTGGCAAAGATAAATGTTCACTGCCCAGTATTTGACTACGTCCCTCCAGAGCTCATTACTCTCTTCATTTCCAACATTGGGGGTAATGCACCTTCCTATATCTACCGCCTCTTGAGTGAGCTCTACCATCCAGATGACTATGAACTCTAACTCTAATGCCTTGAAGCAAGTCGCTGTCCAGACTTTTCCTATCTCGAGGAAGATAGGACAGCTAATTAAAGCGTATGTTGCAAAGATGGGCTGCCGTTCAGCAGAGGGAAATCTGCTCAATGCAGTGTCTTTCCTATCCAAAAGCAACAGAAAGCAGAGCTCTTGCACAGCTTTTGATCCCTCTACTGTGTTATGAGCCCCGTGGAGCTGCTGCTACAATTTACTTTTGAACCAGCAAGGCATACATGTAATTTTCTGGGAAAGCCAAGCTCTTACTTCATAGTGTGCTGCAATAAAGGCTGTTTACAGTGATGTCACTGTTTAGCATATTTTCTATACACAACTAATTTGTTTAACTAGCAGAAGGTTTACCAGTGCACTGAGTTGCCTGCACGTACACTGCAATAACAGGCTTTAAGATCTGTTGTCAGCTATAAGTGTGATGGCATGCTCTTAAACAGAACTGTTTAGAGGAGTTTTCTGATAATTTTTTTTGTGGAGTTATTGAAATACAAATGGGCTTTTTGTAAAATGCTGGAACAGAAATTCCATTCTTGATGAAAAACAGACCTCTGAAACTCTCATCAACTAGCTTATTTACCACTGGGTGTAAGGCAGAGCTCAAATTCGTGATTCTTGAAGTCCAAGGGTCTTCTACTGCCCAGTGGTTATGGTTATATCCCTTTTATCAATGCAGAGCACTACACTCAGCATTCAAGGAAGAAAAAAAAGTTGTTTCCACTCCTTTTCTCTTTGATTTCGCAGATGTTGTGAGCGGATTTGTCTCTAATTAAGGTTTTAATGTAGAACTAGGATGTCTGTGACTAAACAAAGACTTAATTTTCTTTACTGTTCTGCAGTCAATTCCTCTGCAGCTTAGACTGAGAAACAAAATGGAATGGGAATCTGTGAAGAAGTCTGCTTATTTTAAGAAATGTCCTGGGGTCTTTAGTTATCTTAGGGGTAAGTTTCTATACCCTAAGAAAGTAGACTTGTACTAGGATTTAGAAATCTCTTGCTCAAGAATGGAAAGTGCAGGGAGGCTGAGAAGAGCTGGGTGTGTCATTCATTGCCTAGCTAAATAAGAGCGTTGGTTTTTTTTTTTTTTTGATGCTCAGTTTGCCTCTGTAAGTGATGAAGCTGGTCAGTCCTCATTCCACCCACTGCCATGAGCCCAAGGAAAGAGTTTAGCATTAATTTTATTAATAAATACCTCCCCATTTTCAAAACACTGACTGTACATTAATTATAAATATCCTATTATTCAAAGTCCTGCTGGGGTAGCTGAGGAAAAAGCACTTCAGTACCTGGAAGTGGCTGCAGCTTCTTGCCTTTGGAAGTCGAGCACTGACCTAAGGCCCCGGTTTCCAGACGCTTCCTTTACAGTGGAGACGCTTCTCCAGGCTACCTGGGCAGCCTCCTCTTCCATGGCCTCCTGGCTGCTCTCTGCTGCTTAGGTCAGAACTCCTGTGGAGCCAACTTTCTCCTCCAGGGCAGCAACCAAAGTTAGTGCTGTCTAGCTGGAAACTCGGGATCGTATCAACACATTTGGTGGTTGTGCTTTACAGATTTCGTTTCTTTGGTTAGTCTGTTTTTCTTTCCAAATAAGTGCCATGCACGTGCCATTTTCCTCAGTCTGGCCAAATTAGGTTTAGGCTGGAGGGAGAAAAGATGATCGTAACTAAATAAAAGGACTCCCACCTCTCCATAACATTTGCAGACATTCCCTTTTTTTTCTTATGTCTAACTCCAAATCCTATGTGACTTCCATCAGAAGCTAGTTTCACAAGTTAATATAGCATAGTGATAACAAGGGTAAAAAGATGCCTTTTCTAATTTTAATATTTCTTAGATTTTTTTTTCATGGTTTTATGCCATCTTAAACCTCAAGGAAGTAGATGTTTGTTTAGTTAGCATCTTTGCCACTGGCAGAATATCAGAATTTACATGTTTTCCAAGTTTTACTGTTAAAATATGCAAGGACTTTAAATAAACGCGTAACTTAAGTACCACTGGAACCCGTTCAAGTTAATGTGATCATTCAAATGAAAGATGGTATGACCCTTGCTAAAATATTGGCAGAACAGAAGTTTCATTTTCTATTTTTCAGTTCACTAGCAACAACTATGTAAAAAAAAATCACATATAAAACAGCCCATAGTGGCACTTTTTAATCAGTCCATTTTAATTCTACCACACCTATATGATACACCTCTGATAAAATTAAGTGCTCCATCCAGTACCTGCTTTTCCTCGTGGAGATGGTCTATGTCTGCAAGGGGCATCATGGAAGGTCTCCCGTGAGCACACTGGAAGGGCAGCTGGCACGATGACAAAGCTTCAATGAGCTGACAGCTCTCCTCTAAAGTCAAACTGTCATTAAACTTAATAGCCCCTGGAACAAGAGACAAGTCATTGTGCGTTCTGCCAGTGAGAATTCAAACCACTAGCAAACTCTGCAACTGTTGCCTATGCAGTGGGGAAGCACAGGGCAGCTCCCTGAGACCACAGAATAGTAGCAACAGCTGAAGGCCGCAGGGTGCCAGGCACAGGGCTTAGCTCAGTTAACCAGCTTGCTGCATGACAAGCAGCTTTTCCCAGCCCAAGTTGCTTCACCTACCCCAAAGCTGATTGTTGGCAGGATTATTAGGTTTTGGCTTTTCAGGTGATATTACAGGAGGGAAATATATCTTTTTTTTTTTTTTAAAAAAAAAGACACAACCTATAGATAAATGAGAAGGCATTAAAACAAAGAGATAGCTAATATCAGATTTACTGTTTTTAAAACCAGATGCCAGCCCTTTCCTTCATCCTTTATTGCAAATAGGTGCTTAGGGCATCTAGAAAAAAAAATCCAAATGGAACATTAAGCAGACATTTCAAAGGTGTTTGCAGTTTTTAGCCTTCAGAGACACACAAGACTCTCTGCAGTTTGCATCCTGCCTTTCAGTCATACAACTACATAAAGTATAAAAAGTGTTATATACCATCTTCCATTTGTAGAATGCAGTAATATTTCATGAAAACAAATGCTTTGGGGTCATGTTTCCCTTTCAGCACGAGCTTGTAATACAATTGCAATACAATATATGACAGAAAAATGCTAGAGCTCCTGCAGTCTGCACCTGTAAGAACTGCTTATTCCAAGGTTTAGTAGAACCATAGATCCTTGAAAGACATAATTCCTACAGCAAGCCTTCCAGAAATGCTGTCAAGGTCAGCGAGACACTTAAACCAGTATTTTGCATCAGCACTTTTGGTACTTAGTCAAATTTTTAAAATGTTTTCAAGGAGATGTTCTAAAATCTTTTCTGTTTGTTTTCAAACAGTTCCTAGCACCACCTCCTGCTCCTCCACAGAACTGTAATTTGTATGGTTTACATGGAAAAGTGCATTTCAGAGCTGTATTCTGTCAGTGCTTCAAGTGTGGGTAGGAATCAAATTGGACTCATACAGGAACAAATCAATGCAGTGTTGATTGTCCCTTACAGTGCTGTCCAGCAAATGTCCACTTTCTCCACATCCATACAGTCTGTAACAAACAGTCTGTAATACTGCAATTGCTGCAAGCACATTCTGAAACTGCTGCCCCAGGGGGCATATTGTATAGAGACTTTTTGTTTTGTTTTCTTAAAAAAAAAAAAAGAGAGAGAGAGAGAAAGAGAGAGAGAAAGACATAAAATTTCCTTACCATGACATGCTTGGGAAGCTAACACCTTCAGAAATGTTAGAGGCAGCGTCCCTCGTGCTCCTCCTGTGGTCTGCACTAGCTAAAAGTAGCAAGAAAATATAATCTTAGTTTCAATTTCATGTGAAAAAAGAAAGAAGAAAAAAAGAAAAAGGAGAACTGTAGCACTACAGGAGCTAAAAAAAGAGGACAAACTAGCGGATAATGTAGCCCACATCTCTTAACTGTTGAAGTCTGATGTTTAACACCACAGTTAACTCCCCTGGCTCATGCAGTGGGCTCTCCATTATTTCAGGCAACTTTAGAAGGAGACAGCAACTTACCTCAACTTGTTCTTGAATAAATTCCTGGAAAGCAAAAGGCAAAATAATGAGTTCCTGTTTTCCCCAAGACACTGCTTTGTGCACATCTCTGTATATTTATTGTGTAAATGCTGGATATTCCACAGGATGGATAATGCAGCAGCTACACGTTGACCCCACACTGACTCTTTCACAACCATGAAAGACCTGCAAACCCTGCACTCTCAGAAGCATCTTGTTTGCCTCTAGACAAATCACTTGGTTTCTCTCTGCATCAGCTTGTTACCTATAAAGTGAGCAAAATGCTTTCTATCGGAATAGGTTTGGCAAGATGGGCCTGATTCACAATGGCTCAGCCTAGTGGCTGGATGTGGTACTCCAGAAGCTAATTTTAAGGAAGAGCCCTTAAAGCAGTTACAGATTAAATCTTTACAATGGAAACTGAACGCAATCAGTGAAGGGAACAGCAGCTTTTAGAAAGCTAAACTGTCCACGTAGATTTTTCACAAAAAAAAAAAAAACCCTAATCAATAATATTAACACACCAGCAATACTATTTTATTGTTGGTCCAAGCATTCAGGAGAGATGAGCAGTGAATTCATGAAACATCTGCACTGTGTACTATTCTTTTAGTTGCTCCCCTACTCCAAGTCTGCAATGGGCTCCAGTCATTTCTTCTATAGTTAAGGGATTTCAGTTATGGGATTTTTGGCAGAGATATATTTTGCTGCTAATAGGGATGGCATCCATGCCTTCTTTGTCTCTCATAAAGCAGACACTGACCTGCACAATGCTTTTGGCGACAGGTTGTCTTTTCCGTCGTAACTCATTGGCCTCTCTTTCTATAAAACATAGCGGCACTTTCCCCACTAGAATCAAGGAATGGTTGGTTTCAGGAAATGATAATTCAAGGCCTAAATCCTCAAAATTTTTGTGGCAGCATCTGTTAAAACAGAACAAAAAGAACAGATATAAGACACCAGGGCATCTACCTCTCCACAGCCACCTCCTGGCTAAATATTTCTGCAGTCTCTGTGTATGTTTCTTCCTACAACACTTGCCAATCTCCAAATCAATGCCTTACATTCACCTACATTTTTCACCCCAATCCACTGTTTATATTGCATACTACAAGGTCTAAGATTTCATTTATTATGCCAAGAGTAGCTGTGTATTTAAATTTAGCTCTTTTTTTTTTTGCTAAGGATACAAAAGGTGCCTGGATCCAGTAAACTTTGCTGAAATAAACTTTGCTGAATGGAGTGAACACACACTCCATCTGATGCAATTGTAAGGGATAAAGACTAACGTAAAATTTGTCATTTCAATTGAGAAATAATAGCAAATGCTTACAATGGAAAAAAAATATTGCAAGAGATTTATGCTGATTAAAGAACTTAAAGCAAAGAGAGCACAGTAAAGAACAACCTGTAATCAATGAGACATTTTATTCTGGAAAAATACAACAACTGGACTTGACAGTAAGATGGAAAATTGTCATCAAAATGAAAGAGAACAAATTGCCAGCTATCATCATAAACAATAATAGATAACAACTCTAATAATATATAGTTTATTTATTTTAACTTAGGGAAGATTTGCTCAAAAAAAAGACAGGGAAAATTTGATTTTAGAAAGAGATTCTTGGAGCAAAAAAGAAGCTAGTTTAAAAAAATGAAAATCCATTATTGAGGATAATAAAATGAAGCTCCACATGGAGGGGGCTTGCGTAATCCTAAAAAAACAAAGGAGACATGTATAGCCTTAAGCAAGAGAGGAGAAAGACAGAAAAAAAATCAGTTAAATGACAGAATCCAAGGAGCTACTGAAGTCACTGAGGTCATTTTTCAAGAAAAAAAAAAAGGAAAGAAAAAGAAGAGAAAACAAAACAGTACATCAGAATCTACAATGCTTAGTAAACTCAGCAACAATTAACTGGACAAATAGTCCAATATCCAAAACAAACATCAGAACCAAGACAGTGGCAGTTGAATCAGAGGGCCAACTGAACTATTAAACAGTGAAGACAGTTGAAGAGAAAGGATTTTCAGAAAAGCTATATTATTTCATTACATCAGTCTTCACCAAAGAATAGTATTGCTCTTCAAGAAAGACTAGCAATATTTTTTAGGTCTTAAACAATGCTTTTAATTAGTAACTCTTTAGTAAGGATTGTCAAGAGAAGCACAACCAATAAGTCTGTGCTAGCTCTACACAACAAGCACCAGTAAGCTAGCATCAGTATTTGCAAATTTCAAGAAACTTTCTGAATCAATTAAGTGGTAATGATAAAACAATAAGTGGGATCCCACTGTGCTGACTATTTAGCCATCTTCTACAAAAGTCATGCCTACTATTTTCTTTTTCAGCATTTTTGTGAAATAGTTGATTTAGAAAAAGAACTCACAGAATTATTTCAGCTTTCAAAAAGCGTTTGATGCAGCCTCATAAAAGTGACTGGAAATGTAAACAGTTGTCATGGACAGATAAATTTGTCATGAACTAGAGACAGGACAGAAAAAGAGAGTACACTGGCAATAGATGGTGAGTCTTCAATGTAAGTCCAGCTCTGTATCTTCAACATTGTTTACTAATGATGTGGAAAAGGAGGAGGACAGTAAGGCAACCAAATTCGTACAAAAGACAGAATTATTGAGGTTAGTTGAAACCAAAAAAACATATTGAACCTAATCAAAGATCACAAAAGTAGAAAATGAGGAATGAAATCAGTATGATGAATAAAGAACATGTATAATTAAAAACGGTCAGAAAATGAAATTCACTGCTCCTGAAGGCAAATCAAAGTTTATCAGCAGCAATAAATTTATCTATTTGTACATTTTGGTACATGCTATGCTGTTTAATGTAAAGCCACAAACTCAAAACAATCTCTGTGTTTTGTTCTCATGACAGTTCAATCAAACACTGCCTTGGCAAGTAGCTGCAGTCAAAAAAAGCGGACAAAATATTAGGTGTAGAAATAGTGAGAACATTCCTAAATTTAGAAACAACTGTAAAGTTCTGTATAAATCAATGAGATTGTCTCACTTGGTACATGATATTCCATTTCAGCCATCCAATCTCAAAAACAGATAAAAGAAATCAAAGGCATTCAAAGGTAAGTGCAAAAAAAAAGGCTGAACAAGAGACATTAAAAACACTGGGATGTGAACAAAAATAACAAGTAGGAACACCAAAGGCATCCACATATTGTTAAATGATAAACAGTGGTGTTCACAATCTCACATTTTTCCCTAAGGCAGGTGCTGCATTACAAGTATCCTACACTTCCTTTGGTATTTTGGTATTGATGAATGTCACACTAAAGAACTACCAAATGGATACAGCAGTGATACTCTTACAGTTGGAATACATCCAAAAAAGGACTGGCAAGCCCCCAAACCAAAATAGTTTATCTGTAAAATAGACGGTGATGTTAATGAGAAGCGATTTAAAATCTGTTGAGTTTGCCACAGGCATCACAGAAAAGAGGAGTTCTGAAGAGGAACTAGAAGTGAGGTAGCCCTGTGAGTGTTAATGAAGAATTTCCTCTGATCATGAAGAATAATATAGGGAAAAACACAAATGCATGTGGCAGGGGACAGACACAGATTTTTTGAAAAACAAATATCTTTGCTTAATGCCCAATAGTTCTTTAGTAAACCACACAAACACACACAAAAAAGGTTGCTCTGAAATCTTGTAGAAAAAATAAAATTTCTAATGGTAGCTAGTCCACCATTCTGAAACACTTGGG